TTTAGCAGCGTCTGGTCGTCTTTCCTTACTATATGGGACCGAGGTACAACATAGTAAAAAAAATAAAGTACAATGAAAATTTCGGCTCCTCGTAAACTGCATCGTTCTTTCCCAGCCGTCCTGGTAAAGAAAAAAGAAAATGTAAGCGCATGTCGAAATTCACTCGTATATGCTTAAAAACGCAGTGTCGGCGGAAAAATAGGAAAATAAACTCAAGCACACGTAAAAGCATTAACAAAACTTTTTTGTTTTTTTGTTCGTTTTTTAAAAAAAATATAAATATAAATATACGAGCATATTAAAATTGTATTTAAAAAAATTATTATATATCGTAAAAAGGAAGATCGAGATAATATAAGTTGTCGAGTAGTACCTTACGTGCAATAGTCATTTAAATGTTCTGGAAATCTTACTCTTCTTCCAGAACGTGTCGTTTTAAGTCTATTTTCAGACACATTTGTAGTTTCATCGCTAGTGTTGGTTGTTGGTTTAGGAATCATGAGTGTAGGAGTCGTGTTGTGCGATTGTACTGAAGGAAAGTCGACGTGAATAGGATTTCCTTCTAAATACGCTGCTTTGAGGCGATCGATGTTGATGCTATCGTTTGTTCCGTTCTTATCAACTATATAGTACTTAGATTCACGTTGAAGAACATTGAAAGGTCCTTCGTATACTGATTCGAATGGTCGTCGATGCGAGTCTCGACGAACATGTGTACTATATCGTAAGTCAGATTGAACGAAAACATCGGTGGATTGTGGTCGTGTGGAAGCAGGTTTAACTGAACGCATTGTGTTTGTAGGCCTGTTCGTGTAGGAGGTTAGATTCATGCTCATTGAAGAGGGTGAAGGATCCAGGAATTCTCCTGGAAGTCGAAGTGTCTTTCCATAAACGAGTTGGGCCGCAGTGTATCCAATGTCAGCTTTCAGTGCATTGCGAATACCAAATAAGACGAATAGGAAAGCGTCGGTTCACTGAGAAACGTTTGCATCTGATAGTGAAGCTTTTAGTTGTCAGTGAAAACGTTCAACCAACCCGTTTGCTTGTGAGTGTTAGGCGGTCGTTCGGAAGCGAGTACTTCCTAATAGTGTGGTCGGGCGACGGAAAAGTTCAGATTCATACTGACGTCCGCGATCTGTAGTGATGGTTGAAGGGCAAACGAAGTTTGCTACCCATCGTTCGACGAAGGTGCGAGCCACTGTTTCAGCAGTGATGTCCTTGATAGGTACTGCTTCTGGCCATCGAGTGAAACGGTCTACGCAATTGAAGATATAGGAGTATCCATTTGAATCTGGCACAGGTCCTATTAAATCCAGATGAAAATGGTCGAAACTAGCGTCGGGAGATTTAAATGAGCCTAAGGGACGTTTATTGTGTCTGATGACCTTAGATTTTTGGCAGCTTACCCACTCCCTCACGCCTTTATTCATAATAGGCCAGCGAAACCGTTATGCTATGAGCTTGGTGGTTGCACGAACACCTGGACGAGAAAGTTTGTGCAATGTGTTGGAGACATTGCGTCGATAATGTTTCGGCACGATTGGACGATCCCTACCTGTAGATGTGTCACAAAGTAAGGTTTCCTTACCTGTTCCCATCTGTTTGATGCGTAGTTTAAGGGTTGTAGACGATAACTCGTGCTGAAGATCAGTGTCTTCTTTTTGAATCTCGGCGAGTTTCAGAAGGTCGATTCCTTGGAAACTGTTCAAGGAAGTCACGGGAGACAAAGCGTCTTCAACTACATTGTTTGCTCCAGAAATGTGCTGTATATCTGAAGTAAACTGAGAAATGTAGTCCAGTTGTCGAGACTCACGGGGAGAGTACTTATCTGAAGTAGAGCTTAGACAGAAGGAGAGTGGTTTATGGTCAGTGAAAAGAGTGAACTCACGGCCTTCGATATAGTGTTGAAAATGCCGTACAGCACAATACATAGCTAGGAGTTCCCTACCGAATATGCTGTACCTCGATTCACTGTCTAACAACCGTCTAGAGAAAAATGCCAACGGTTGCCAGGAGTTGTTAACCCATTGTTGTAAGACTCCTCTGATTGCTGAGTCCGATGCGTCTACTGCGATACTAATGGGTGCTTCGGTGTCCTGATGTGCAAGCATTGTTGCTTTAGCGATGAGTTCTTTAATTGTGAAAAATGCTTTTCGTGCGGTGTAGTCCAAATTAATGGACCTCGCATTTCCACGAAGTTGGTTGGTAAGAGGTTTCATGGGTAACGCGCATTTTGGTATGAAGCGTCTAAAGAAACTTACCAGGCCGTCAAATGTGCGTGGTTGCTTGACGTTTGTCGGTTCTGGGTAATCCAGAATGCCCGCCACTTTGGTCCTAAGAGGTCGAATGTCTTGAGCATATATGGTGTGTCCTAGGAAGTCTAACGAATCGGTACCGATTTGGCATTTCTGAACGTTTATAGTAATGCCATGTTTTTGTAATCGTTCGAAAACAAGATCCAGATGCTTGAAATGTGATTCTCTGTCCGGACTTGCGATTAGGCATTCATCAACATACGCATGTACGAAGTTGAGACCTCGAAAAACGTCGTTTATGAATCTTTGGAATGTTTGCGCAGCGTTTCTTAGACCGAAAGGCATTCGCAAAAATTCATAGAGTCCGAAGGGAGTTATGATAGCTGTTTTCAGTATGTCGTCAGTAGCCATAGGGATTTGGTTATACGCTTTAACCAAGTCGATTTTCGAAAAGAGAGTTGTACCTTTCAAGGTAGTTGTCAAATCGTGAATGTGAGGCACCGGGTAACGATCGAGAATGGTTTTTGCATTCAATCTCCGATAGTCACCAGTTGGACGCCAATCGTTGCTGTCCTTTTTAGGGACCACGTGCTACGAAGATGCATATCGGCTATTCGACAGTCGTATGATTCTTAAGTCCATCATGTGATCGAATTCGTTTTTCGCTAACCTCAGCTTTTCAGGAGCTAGTCGTCGTGCTTTAGAGAATACAGGTAGTCCTGTAGTCGTGATGTGATGTGTAACGTTGCTGGTTACACACGGTGGTTTCGGTTGCGTTTGATGAATGACAGGATACTTATCGCGTAGTGGTTGATAGAGTGGGTCTATCGTATGTTTAATTGTGACTGGGGATAATCTGCAACCAGTAAAAGAAGTTACGAAAACGGATAATTTAGTTTTTCCGTCTACTAGCCTCCGTTTGCTCGTATCGATGATCAGATTATGGTGTTGTAGAAGGTCCATACCAATGATTGGCATAGAAACATCTGCAACAATGAGGATCCAGTGACTGGGTTTGCGTAATCCCACGTTCAGGAAAACGTACCTTTTGCCATACATAGCGATCAGTTTTCAGTTTGCCGCCTGTAAGTTTAAGGTCGATTCGTGAAGCCGGTCGTTAGAATTTGCTGGGAGATCGCTAAATTCTGCGCCAGTGTCGACGAGGTAGCGAACTCTCGTTGTCGTATCTGTGACGTACAACAGACGACTATGTTCGCCGGCTACGGTTGCCATTAACGCGTGCCGGCCTGGAAGTTTCCCGAGTTTTTTTTCGAGTCAGTCGTTTTCGTGTTGGAAAAATTGCAGGGTTTTCTACAATTTCTGGAAGATTTTCCATACTGGTTATGATACCAGCACCAGTCAGGGTTATCCGTCTCTCATAGTCTAAAGAAAGAACGTCTACGTGAATCGCTCTTTTTCACGGGGTGTGTGAGCGATTACGATCGTTACGAAGATTAAAATAACGCGTGAGTGTATGACATAACTCGGTTGTCATTCTGAGTAGTTTGAGGCTTTTCTTTGACTGAAAATACCTCTGTAGTAGACGATTTCGTTATTTCTAAAATACGATCGGCAGATTCAGACAGCTCGTCTAAGGTGTTGTTTTGAAACGAGACAAGCACAGTTTGCACCTGTTGAGGACGTTTAGACAAGAAAAGTTGTTTAAATAGGGCATCATTGAAAGTTCTTAGGCCTATCACTTCTCTCATTCGTTGCAACATGTCCGTCGCAGAACCGTGTTGCCGGTCGATGTTATTGAAGAGTTCACCTAACCTTTGTCGATCGGTTAAGTCTCATCGTTTAAGAATCGAACGTTTTAGGATTTCGTAAGGTTCGGAAACATCACTAGTAAACATACTAGGTGTTACGTACCAGTTGAATTCACGCGGTAGTGCCTTGACTACTGCGAGGAATTGTGCACGTGCGTCGATCACGCCGTGCTCGGAGAAGTCAGCTTCTGCGTAGCAGAACCAGGGTTCGATATTGTCGGGCTATAAAGGCATGAGTTGAAACGAAGGCGGGGACAAAGTCTTAAGCTTGAGTACTTTAGGTGTCTGTTCAGTCATGATGAAATATGAAAAAAAAATATATATCCAAGAAAAAACACTAAAAAAATCACAATGTTTAAAAAAATGAAAATTAAGGTAATGATATATGAAAATCTCATAAAGGAACAGACTTACAGTTGCAATTAGGTGTACCAGATCACGTCGGTCTCACCAATGAGGATGATACAGGTATTCAGTGTTTGACAACGCTTCTACCAGTAACACCTTCTAATGTACTTTGTTACCGCCGAGATAAATCAAAAGACAGAGTCGAGGAGATCGGAAGAGTGTATTTGGCGATAACCAATATATCGGAAGATCTCTGATCTAATCTGGCTAGCGATTGCGGTAGATGTTGAGCACAGCGTTACCACACGTGATCTGGTGCGGATACATGATCGAGCGCCTTCAGCTAGATGAGTCCACTAAAACATATTGTCAGCATCCAATGTCGAAAACTTACAGAGTTATTTAGTTTGTGGATTTATTTACCGCTACACCGGGAATACAAGCAAAAGTTTGCTCAAAGTTTTTACAGCGTCAGAAACAACAAAAAGACATAGTTAAGACACGAATGAGTTAAAAATCGTACGTTGATTAAAAGAAATCAAGTTAAATCTTTGTATTTATGCCTTTAGTCACGTCATATGCTCCACGAATTCATAACGTACTACTGGTGTTTCAAAACTCGCGCTTCAAAGTATTAGAAATTTGGAACATGTTTAAATATTTCATGCACTAATGATGAGCAAATTAAAGGCACTTAAGAATCGACTTCAACTACTACATGTTCATAATGATTTGTTGTAAATCCTCATTTGCTCATTATTAACTGCTGTCGTTTATTTTCATTATTAAATATGGGTGTATCACGTTGTAAGTTTATTGAACCGTTGAGACATTAGATCTGACACAGCTTTGTATCATGACGTTATGCTAATCTAATTAGTATTCATAGTCGACGCCAACTAAAACACTTAACAATTCCTTAATGCCAGACAGCTATGGATATCTACTCTTCATTTTCACTACATATAAAACTAAATGACCTATCAAGTCCATATATAGTATATATGGATACGCATATGTGATACGCGTGTATCACATTAAATCTCAAAGACACGTCTTTAAGATCTAATGACAAGTATTAAGTATGTTTGCTCACGACTAGAAATGAAACTGGTCCATATTTTTTCATCTGCGTTGTCGTAGACTGAATGCAAAAGTTCCCACTCTAAACAACTTTCACGAAATGCTAGTGACTTCATGAATTGGTTTACTACCAATGTATGTTTTGGTCTAATCAAAATGCATCTGTTAATATGGTTACGCAAATAGTAGTTGTTTCGGGCAAAGAATTCGTAGTCTGAAAACATCTGTAAATATTTACGATGTACATTTCAGGTATAAAGAGTAGAATGCTAATGAAACTTTATACGCATATAGACATTAAAGTAGCGGTTGTTTGATAGATTAACTTTATTATGAAGTAGTATTATTCACGTGATTTTTATGTGACAACTTGCACAGGGTTTAACGAAACTGGTCCTACTGTTCTTTTGTATAATAAGATGCATGATTTGAGGGTGGAGTGCCAGAGGCGTGTGATTGTTTTGTACCAGCAAGCTTCAGTCTAATCTCTTGAACAATTGTTCAATAACTTAAGCCATTTAAATGTCTAGATACCGACTCTCTTAGCAGTAGATCCTAAAAGTTGATTACTTGACGGAGAAACTTATTTTGCCCCAGGGATGCTGTTGTCTCTTCTCATTTAAATCCCCCTGCTATGTCCACTGAATCATCCTGACCTAGCTGACAGACTATATTTCATGTCAAAAATCTTTTCTTAGAATCTTGCTCAGTGTATTAAAATGACATGTGACAGTCACGATGTTGCGACTGATAAAGTTTGAATTTTCCAAGCAATTAAGGAAAAGCATTTTCATATCCTCTATAAATTGCTTAACGTTACACCTCGTTTTCTGTTCAATCGTTCTTATTATGAATCTCCTAACTTGTTTTGTTTTTACTGTTAGGACTTCCAATGAGTTCAGACAACGTTGTTACTTCAGTACTCCCAGATTCATATTCACTAGCTCGAAGACACTTACAGTTGAGTCGAGCAAAGCTCAAAGCCACTAGTCGAGTGTCTGCCTTGCTGGCAGGCTTCGCTATGGTTGCAATCATTGAATTGCAGGTTACTTTAACAGTGACTAAATAAGTGGTTTAGGTTGCTGTTGGCGAAAGTAAACCACCTGAAGGATTATTGTTTGCTTTCACGATTCTTTCATGTCTTCTGGTTGTCGTGCATATAATGGCTGTAATGATAAGTACTTGTATTTTGCCACATATTGACTCATACATGGTCCCTCAAGACTGTTATTTGATTGAGGAAGCACCACACAACAGATTAAGAACGTAAGATATCTGTTTTTACAGTTATCAATTTTTCCCTTATAGATTTGTTGAAGTTGCATGGATTTGCAGTACTGTGGTTGGCATCATTTTATTTTTAGCTGTGGTAACTTTAGCATTTTGGGTTAAATTTTGGTCTGTGAGTAGCCTGTCTGCCATAGCCGCAACAATTGTTTTGATGCCAGCCATGCTCATTTTCGTCATTTTCGCTATATTATTTTATCGTGCGCTCACTACCTACAAAGTGGAACGAGCTACGGAAATGATACGTAATATTGATATGCGCATGTCCTTTCTTAGAAGTGGAGTTCAGAAGATATATGACGAAGATAACAGGAAACAACATGTTTGACGTTGAATACTTTTTGGACCTTTTCATATCTATCCTTACATACAGTACCCTCTTGTGTTCCTAATTGAATATGAATTGAATAATATAAATTGAGTGTCTTACTGGCTTTTGTTTGTTAGATTATTTATTTTTACTTAAATTGTTCGCAATATTTAACATAGCGGGTTTATTTACCTTTCCAGTATTCAAGTGGTTATGTAGGAGTTTACTACATTTTTTGTTATTTATTTAACGGCAGATATTATGTTTGGGTCTCACTACTTGATTTCTGTACTATAATCTTATGAATAAAGCATACGATACAGCATCGATATGTGGGTTGGGTAATTATTTAAGTTGTCAGATAAATAAATATTAAAAAGGATGTTGATAATCATACTAATCAGTCTTCAACGACTATCTCCTTGCATCTTGGGAATTATGGATTAAAGGCTCATACAGCCCAATTAGATTGTAACTCTTATTCGGTCGATGTTATTTTAATTTTGATACCAAAAGTCCCTATTCTTTTAGATACTTTTCTTCAAAGTATTTTAACGATTGAGTCCGGGTGTTTAGATCATGTTCCGACAACTAAAGAATTGGTTTCTCCATAAATACACTAACAAATCATTATAGAACTGGGTAGGGAAAAGTCCTCACACATATTTAAATGAGCACACTTTCATTGATGATACGAGAACAGTTCCCTAATAATTGAATCTCGATTTACGAAATATGTCCACATGAGTTTACCTCTTTCATCATAAGGTTGGTATCGGTTATTATGGTCGCCTTCCTTGGATTAAGCCAAATAGATTAGTGATCGGTACAACTGAGATGTGATTAGTAAACACTTGTTAGTTCGTTCGAATGAGATTTTAAAGTACTTTGAAGGATAGTTTTCTCAGTTCGGTGTAAATATTTACAACCTAATACAATTACGTCTATGTTTCCTTTTTGAAAGCAGTTATTTATGATCATTCACAAAACTTTGACTGCAATTGATGGACAAGTAAGCAGTCTAGAAATGTGCACTAATTCCACTGATCGGTTAGTCGTAAGCAATATACAACCTGACATGTGCATTGGCCTAGGTTACCACGCCTTACTAGGATAAGGTCATGAAGATGAATATCAAAGTAGTCGTAAAAATGGCAGTAAAAAACGTTATCAGCAGTTTTATTCAGGAAGAAACAGGGAATTTTCGGAATGAAAAAATTCCCAGGCTTTTTTAAAACTCGAGACCCAGGAAAAAGTAGAGTGTCTGCACCTAAACTACAACTTCCCTATGAACCGAGTCACTCAACGTCTCCAGCTACTGATCATGGTTTGCACCTAACATGGTTTGGATTAGTGGTAAGTGACTTCGTGGACTCACGACACGTCTCGGTTTAGTTTCTCCTGGTTTGATCCCAACCTGCTACGAGTGGTGGCTTGGTGGTTTTAAGACCCTGGGTTTCCGGCTACTAAATCCTAGATTTGAACCCCGCCCCTCCTACTTCTGTTCGGGCAACTGGGTAATATCATTGGCTCATACCAAAAACCTGTTTAATGAATTAATCAGAAACGATGACAAAGATCGGGTGTCGAAACAGGTTGTGGTTGGAGATATGCAATATATATCTCAATCACCTCAGTCTATGAAGATCTACATATTGATCAACTAGCTTGTCACCTTCGTTTGGTGCCGTATCCCTAACTTCAGTATCACTCACTCTGTCGGTCCATGATAGACGAAGAATACTTCGAAGGCATGTTACACAACCCGGGCCCTGAGCGCGTCTTCTACTTTCATAGACCATGTTTCATGTTCACGGAATAGTACAAAGCGAATCGCTTCGTACTATGCCTGTCATTTGGCGAGCAGATGGACATCTCATTTACAGCACAACGCAAATCGCAGGAAGCCAACAGGACTTTGTGAATGCGTGGTGAGACTGTTTTGGACGCCAAACTACCAGGGTTGACGAGACTTATGATATAAGTGGAGTGGTCAACATACTCAACTACTTCACTTCCTATGATCAAAGTAGGCGACGATCCAAATTCATCCTGATGACATTTTGCATTTGGAGGGCGAGAAGCACATACCGAACATGTTCACATCTTTTCTCAAGCTGATCGAAATACTGGATTATGTCACCGTCTTCACCGAATAGGACTATATCGTCTGTCTACTTTAAGTTGATGGGTATTGTTAAATCAATCGTTAAAAAAGTATAAGAAAGCGACAGAATCTCGATCATCGTCATTACTAAAGATCTATAGAGTTAGCCTGTTAGGTTATGCTGCTTTCGTTTGACTCAAGCTAGTTATAGCTTCCTTAACCTTACTAAGAGTTGGGGACCTAGGTGGAGTTTTGTTCTTTGAGCCGTATGGTCGAGGTCGACAGGACAAGTTGTGAGTCGTGTAGAAAAATTCGAACACTTCACTCCTACTTTGAGTTTGTGCTGATTATGTTGTTTAGAAGAAAAATGAAAGCTTCGTGACCAAACCATCCAGCTCAGAAAACTAAACTCCACCTAAATCATCCACCTGAACTACTAGTCTTTTTCACTATCTCAAGTTGGTGACTTGTGTCGATTTCCCATTTCGGTTGTTTGGAGATATTGTAACTCGAACTCTAATATTTGAGCTTTCGATACCTGCCTTTTTTGATAAATGTGAAGACATGTCTGGTGTTATGTTTCATTCCCTTTCTCATCTCTTCTCCATTCATCGCCCACAATTCATGCGTAGGTTTTATATCAGTTTGCGTTGTCTTCGCTCGTTATCGCGTTCGGAGCCTTAAATATACTTTTAACTTCTGAGTTGAGCTTTAAGTGTATTGCTTGAAGTTTTGTCATCCAGTATTACATGAGAACGCGTTTTCACAATACAGCTTGATCATGTTTAACAGAAATGTACTGCAAAACGGGCATCATCCTTCCACTAAATCTTAAGCAATGAATGACAATAATATGATCTACTTGCATCCGTCTAGTTAGTTTCGATGGTCCCCATGTCAGATGATCATTGGTATTTTGGCTTCTTTCACAATTCATTTAAATGAACACATAAATGTGAAGGCTCATTGCAATGTGCTTTGAAAGTTTGTTAAAACCACTAGTTTTTGTTTGACAGCTGTAGCTTATTACCACCATTATGATTAGATTTTATTCACTTTCTCAACTAATCAGTTTCTTATGGTTACTAGAAAATTTCACACAGAGTAAATGTTTTTTCCTTGTAAATCAGATTTATTTTTTCGATTATGTACAGTTTAATGTGTAGTCAATAATAAAACTTGAATGGACTAGTAAAGTTTCATTGGTCATCATTTTCCCCTTCATTTGTTTCTAGGGCACTTAACCTGTTTTAGTAACAATGTCTTCTGCCTTTACTACAAAGGATTTGAATCATTTCAATTATGTTATTATTGGAGGTGGTATTGCTGGTGTTGTGTGTGCTGAAACATTATGCGAACTCTTAAATCCAAGCAGGTTTTCTGGGGCTCTCCAGTCATCGTCAGATCATCTAAACTATGCATCTAAACGTGTAGCATTGATATCTGCTTCTCAAACTGTGAAAACTACAGTCAATCTACGTCGAATAAGCAATATGATCGAAACTTTTGATATTGAGGAGAAATCTGGTAGTTCATGGTCCGAAACATGGCCCGACACGTTAACCGTAATCTGTGATACAATGATAAAACTAGAGTGAGTTCAATTTACTTGATACTTTATACTAGTCGCTGGTATTAGTTATGTCAGTCGTTAAACCATTTTCTTAAGGAAAAGTGTCCAAATGTAAGTTTGATGCTGGACCGTGGTTTCTATATACGTTTTATCTGTTAATTAAAATATTTTGTTATTTTTGAGTGATTAAATGACTATATTTCTCCGCATTTTTGTAGAATAGTGTACCTATTGGTCAAGTGAATAGCAAGCAGTGCTAGAATAGAGTATGTCAATAAACAAAGAGTTATCATAAAACCAGGACAATGTGCACTTGCTGCAGTGTCATCGACGGAATAAATCCGAATATCTTATGCAACTTAATCCAATATTTCTTAACTTAATTGATTAGCATTATAAGTTGTTTGGAATATGTGTCGTCCTCTATTTTGCACTCACCATAGCCATGATTATTATTTATTAAGGGTGTGCATCACACATTGTTGTGACATAAGATTACAGAAATATCAAATAATGTACCACCATTAGTAAAAACTTTCCATCCAACCTCAATCTTATCCTGTTGATGCTATCATCAAGCTAAATAACACTACGGACGTTGGTGACCAAACACAAACTTGATAGTTATTGTACATCATTTTGATTGTCATATTGTGACAGTACCTATTTTTGATGAATAACATTATTACCTCACTGATCAAATCGAATTCTCAACTGTAGACGCTTCTTTAATTACATGTTGTGACTACCCAGTCGGTATTTATTGATTGAAACACTTGTTCCTTAAAATCCTACCATATCAAGGAGGCTAATTGAGAAGGGATTAAAAAAACTTGCTGTTGACTACAACGAGGAGTGGCTACGTGGAACTACACTTATTTATGACTGACTAACTAGCCAATTCAGGGATATTGGGTTTAGATCTTATGGGTTGATCGGTCAGAGATGATTATGAAGAACACTGAGACATAGCTTAAGCACTTGTGTCCTAGGTTAGTTCTAAACACTTTCATTGTTTATTTATGTTCGTTACAGCACAAATAGTATAGCGTATGTGTTTGCGCTATGTGCTTTACACGTATGATGGATTTATGGAAAATGTAGATGTCCGTTTAACATAGGGATCCTCTTAATGTCGCGTTAACACGTTTTTAAGTATACTTACGGGTCGATGTCCCGAAGTGTAGTTACATAAGAAAACCACTTGCTTTGCCTCGGATAACAATGGCTTACAGTGATTAATCTATATATGTTCATTGTTGAGTTAATTTTGCTGACTATTTATTCAGACAATATTTTCCCTTGTGTTAGCTAAGAACAAGTGCTTGTCAGAGAAAAATAAACATCTTTGGTTTATGAAATCCTTAAGATTCTCATAGTATTCATTATAGTCCCCTGCTAATATGATTACCTTGCCTTATGCAGTTAACTTGACAGT